ATTAATTTTTGATTTTTCCTAATATACCTGTATTTTCGGTTTATCCTCAAGAACCATCTATTGAAACTCATACCTATTAAAGCTGCTCAAAATACTGCTAGGAAATAAACAAATTTAAACAGTTGTTGCAGATTTTCCATATTAATAGGTTACTTAAAACAAATCCCCAGTGATTATTGAAAACTTAACGATATTTCATTTCTATAAACTGCAAATAATTTTTATAATAAATTATGTATTTTATTTTATAACCGGCGTTGAACAGCCGAACGCATTCTCAATTCAACTCCGTAGCCTTGTAATTTTGAACCCTACCCGGAAGACAAAGGAACTCATTAATCAAATAAATAATGAAACAAACTAGTCTTCGTGGTGTTGGAAGACTTACCGATAAATCCAACCTGCATTTGAGTTACATGAAGAGGAAAATCACGAAAATCTCAGTTGGTCAGCCCGACAGCAAGGCGATTCCAACTCATTATCCGTCTACCATTGATATTTTACTTTCGCACTGTGGTCAATGTTAACCGAGAGTAGAATTCGCACCAACCAGCCAACGCTGGGATTCGAATCTGGGTTACCTGATTGAAAGACGAATGCTTTATCCATTGAGCCACCACGCCTCTAATATTAAATTATATAAAAGCAAAAAAGTACAATGTTGCGACACAAATGTGTCATAACATTTCTCTCAGGCTAGTTTTAAATGACAATTTTTTCTGGTACGCACAATGAAAAAAAATAGAGGTATAGGAAATTATGCCGATAAATGTTCGAAAACAGAAACTATGGCGCACTATTGACAAAGTCATTAAATACCACATGAATCCATAAAAATCAAATTGTAAACACAGAATCACGTGGTTTCATTTTGAGAAGGAACCGCCCCCACTTCATTATAATATGCGCCAGTGTATGGGGGGACGGAACACGTGTTAAAGCATCGTTGTTCGCCTGAACATCATTTATCACAGTCGAGGATTTTGCCTTGTCCGCCCACCCCCCGGCCCACTCTATTCTAGTGATGGATGGCGCTTTAATCCCATTTTATATGGACAGCTTGCTTGCTGCCACTGACCGTTCTATGCACCTATCTTGCAGCAGACACTTGTTGCACTTTCGCATCTTATCAATTTTTTATGCTGATTTTTTTTCCCTTTTTTTTTATCTCCCCCAAACGTGATGATTGGATGGCCTATTGTTTTGAATAGTGTTTATGATAACGTGCAATCGGGGTTGATGCAATCGTTCCCCCCCCCCTCTGAATATCTTTATTTGTTAGAGAACGTCTTAGAATTTTTTTCATTTTATGAAAAATAAAATTTTTTATGTGTAAAACGTTACGTCAGTATGTTAAATGTTATGAATACAAAAAAAAAATTATGATTTTTCTAAGTTTTATATATTTATTTAATTTTTCAAGCTGCTGCAAAATGTTTGCCTTTTCCCCTCTTATGTTACTCCGGCATATTCTTTTTGATATATATTTATTGCACTTAAAAATATTTTTTAACATAAAAAATAGAAAATTCTTTCTCGCTATGGCCTGCAAGTTAATTAATTAGCACTCTTTGTTTTGTCATATTCTAACTTAGTTATATATCTTTGGAATAATTAAAGTCTATAAAATTTCTAAATCTTACTATTCAGTATTTCATTCTTTTTCGAATAATTTTCTTTTTTTTTCTTTCTTACAAATAATTGTTTTGATAGCTTTTATAAATTAAAGACTCATTTAATCAATCTATTAAAATATTCAAATTTTTCTAATATTAATTTCTAAATTTATTTTTTTCTAAAAACTATGCTTTTTTTTTAGCGCTTATCCTTTTGCCTACTTCGCCTGATAGTTATTCTAAACAATCAGTTGTACCAGCCGTAATTAAAAGGCTAATATGAAGATAATAAGGCCGGTCTTTTTTTTGGGGGGGGGGGTGTGGAAGAAGCTTTTGCATTAAAAGAAGACTCTTATTATTGCAAAGTTGTTAATAATTTAAGATTCCAACATATCGCCATTAAGGTAATCAAACTCTTATAAAAAACCCTGTAAAATTTATACTGAATCTTAAAATATAGTTAGCCCAAGACCCAAAAATTTTGTCAAAAGTGTAAGGAAATGTTGTACTCTGTATAATGTTGTCGTCGTAGGCCATTAAGGCACTGGCGGGGGCAATTGTTCTTATTTTCCAGTGGCTCCATCTATGGCCAAGATTTAGACTTCTATCATACGCCATACCCGTTTCTAGGGCGGACCCATTAATATATTCATTCCTTCATTCATCCACAGATCGTAATTTTGACTTGAGCCGGAGAATAATCAACTTTGTAACCCGACAGATTTACCGTACACCAGTCACCATTTACTACACAGGGGGGTCTTCGGCCGGCTGGATTCGAACTCCCGTTCTCACGAGCGTGAATCCGGCGTCCTCCCAACCAGGCTATACCGGCGCTCTGTATAATAGAATAATAATTTTTCCAAACTCACATGGACTACCGTGGTAAGTAATTATGAGAATTCCTGCAGACTGATTTGACTTGATTATCTTAAATCTGACTAGTTTTAATAGTTATTGTCTACAAACACACCTCAACGTATTTGTCTAAGTCATTAATCATAAAATTCGGAATTACAGCTGTTAAGAACATTGCCTCCCGTAGAAGCTATTATAAAGTAAGTCAAAATCTGCTCCGTATAGCATATATTAAGCTATATTTCGGTAGTATTGGAAAAATTTTGTTGATATGAGAGGCGTGAAATTGACGAAATTATCTGTGTTTTGATGTTTTACCCGTATATTGTTGAACCTTTCTTTATAAATCAACTTAGAATTTTCTTAAAGCTCTAATATTTGTTTAAGTCTCGGTCTCAGTTATAATATATGTACTTTTAATTCGTTAAGATAATAAAAAAGGAATAAATTTAACTGCATATTTTAGAATATATTTATCTATACAAAATCTGTAATTTTTTTAAAATTAATTTTACTCAAACTTGTTTATTTACTTTAATCTGAAGTTTTAATGTTGCTATTTCAATGAATGCTAGAATAGTTAGTTTATAGTTTAAATAAGAAAAAGTTTTAATTGTATGACTAAAACATAATGTGAAACCTCTTTTGAAATCAGATATGAAATTTTTCTGTGGAAAATAAACGTCCCTAACAAGTCAGTGGAATATAAATCACTAAATTTGTCGCATACTATTATACGATATCAAGCATTATACTCGATCATTTTCTTAAACTTTACAATCATTATACACGGTAAATATGTATTCTTTTGGTTTTAATAACAAATTATAACTTCTGTTATAGATCTGCTTTTTAAAAAAAAAAGGTTTTCGTAATTGAAATTTATATTTATTTGTGCAGTCTCGTTTGTATAGTTAATGCGATGAAATAACTTTCATAAAACCTAGTAATATTAATTCCTAATTTTCACGTAGTTGCCACCGAAATTCAGTCTTCTTCCTTAAAAGGAAAATTTTTACACCAAGAGGCACATTTGTAACATCCATGTGTCAATTAAATATTGCTCTGCAAGGCATTAGGCATTGGACTTTCATTAGTCCGTTTGATAAATGTCTCAGCTAGCGAATTGTCCGAAATCTCTCCCAGCAAATGTTCGATTAGGTCGCGAAAAATATCCGCTTTAATGGACATTCTTAAAATTAGCTGAGCGAGAGAGGGGACATCTAATGCCTAATACATAGTTTCCCTGCGCCCGGTCCCCCGAATAGTCCTATCCATTTACCATTGCCTAGACGAACCATTCGATTATAATTACGGGGTCCTTAAGCATTTGCTTACTAGCGTCATCAAGTAATCCGAGTCCTGGCCGTAAATTACTTCTCGCGACTTCGTCTAAAGGGACAAACAATTGATGATGTCTTCGTCTATTCTCCTATGGGGCCGGGGACGCGGGTTCCTCATCAGCATCATTAAGAAGTCTAATGACGTTTTCGCAAGCGTCATTAGACGTTTAATGTCTACCTGGAGAAGTGTCCCTTCCATTTCTGTTTTAGGATCCCTGACAAAAGTTGTGCAGGTTTGTCGCGGGAAACTTTTTTTTCTTCTTCTTGCGCTTTAATTTTTTTTTCCATTGTTTAGTTTGCGCATTTCGGTACTGACTGCGGTTAATCGGTCCCTCGCGAGCGCATTAAGAATCACAGTGGATTTCAAGGAAAGGGGGGAGGACGTGATGGTGGGGTTCGGTATATCGTCTCTTGAGTGTCAGGTAATGCTTGACGAAAATGAATATACTTTTTGAAACTTTCTTGGCATTCTTTTAAAAAGATATCTCTGGAAGAATATTTTTTTTTTTTGTCATAGAAAAAAAGAAGTTTGCAAGTTAAACTTAAATTCTCATGCAGTTAAGAAATTTGCTCTACTCTTCAACAAGTTTACATTTTCTTTATTAAAAAATTGTATTCAAACCTCGTTATTTGTCAAATATTTTTTTTCTCCAATGCCTACCTGTGTTAACATCCGTCAATTCAGCCATTTACAGGGCGATTTTGTTGACCTCTCTTTCAGGGGCACCGTATTAGGTGGGCCAACATCGCTCCCACAGTGAGGACAGATAATACAGAGAAGGAAGGAGCATCCATGCCTTGCCCGGGATTCGAACCCAGAACCTTTCTGGTGCAAGGACAGTTCCCTGCCCCCTACACAGGCCGGTCGGCTATTTTTCAAATATAAACTTTTCGAATTTAATGTCCCACATAATGTTAATTTAAAAATAAAATATCTTATAGATCTTGTCTAGATTATTAGACCACGCCATAAGTCGTGGCTAGTGGCGTGATAGACAAAAGCTCCCGATTAGATTTTAGTTAATTTAGGCACTACATCAATAGATATGCTTTTTTCATGAATACCACGATACTAAGGTGCGCAATTGTTTTTCTTTTTTTTTCCTTTCTTCTCACTGATTAATTTCGATTTATGGTTTTAAAGTTTAAGGCTGTGTAGCAGACTCCGGCTTTTGTGGTATTAAGGTTTTTTACTCAAATCAATCTAATCCGTACTTTTAGGGAATTGTATGTGAAGTTGAAAATAAGATTTTGCCAATTTGGAATTTCAAATGTACCAACCTAGGCGTACAGAAATTGGAGTTTAATAGGGATACTCCCTAATGTTAGTATGCCATGGTATCAATAATAATTTGATCAACAATTCTACCTTTTAAGAATATAAGGAAATTTTATTTCTATCAGTTTTACAGAAAATACGGTTTTTATGAAACCTATTTATTTGAATTAAAATATTTATTCCACTATAAATGTTTCTTTGAATTATATACATTTCATGTAAAAGTTAGTAACTATCACTATGATTAATAGCATTTTTCTCTATTTTTTGTAGGTAAGCTCTTTTAAAAAGGAAGAAAAAAATCTTATTTTCTATGTACGCTGTATCTCGTTTACTTTCTCATCGCCCGTGAGGTAAGACTGAAACTTTAACCACCATCAGATATTTATTTTTTCGCTCCTTTCTCTCATCCTCGGCATCTTCAAAGACCAGATCTTCAGCATCCTGTGTAGCATGAATCATTTATTGATGGGGAAGAGCATCTCCCACCCAAACAGCTTGTTATGACTATAGCGCCGAAGCTACTCAAATATTTACCAGGCAGTTTAGTGCCTCGGTGTGATCCCATCTCCAACATCACTTATTGAGGCGGATGCTCTGCCCGCGTCTCACAATCAAACCGAAGGATGCTCAAGATCATAGCCGAGAAAAATCTCTTTTTATATCTATATGTGCTTTTTCTTTCATCCCATCTATGTTTCATCTTTTTTCCTCCTACTATATATATATTATAAAAAGATCCATTCCACGATGGTAACATAGTTTTCGGATATTGTGTCAAGTTTCTTGCTTGAAGATGATAAATTTTAAGCCAGCAGTAACATTGTTGGCGGGCGGGGTACGCAAGAATTTTATTTTTGCGATTGCTATTTAGAGATTTACTTTTCTGTAGTAAGTGGATTTGGATAGAATTGCTTCTAAATTTCATTTTATAGGTCATAATTGAAAATAATATGGGAGGTTTACTTGCAAGTAAAATCAGCTGCGAAAAAGTTACATTTTGATTTTTTTTCCCTTTTTATTTATATTTTTAAAATTTTTGTTTCTACAAGAAGCATATTTTTCTGTGAAAGTTTTTATATAAATATTTTTATTTCTCTTTTAAATCTAATAACTTCATTGATGCATAATCTTTTTTTTTTTCAGTATGTTTTCTATTATTTTTCTTTTTTCTCTACGTTATTCTAAGTATTATTTCTTTAAAAAAAATTTAAAAAATCTTATTTTATATTTTTCTCTCATCATATTTTCTTTATATATAAAGATAATGTGATGAGAGAAAATGAAAAATTTATTGCATGTAACATATTAAAAATAGTTTTTGAAAGAGATAATTTGTGAAGGTAAATGGATAGTAATTTATTCACAACTATCTCATATTTTACAATGCTGCTTTTCTTAAAACGTCTGAAAAGTCGATTTATACCGTATGATTTACGGTATAAATCGACTTTTCACCTGGGTATACTTTCTGTATATTCTGATGAGTGCATAAATCTTCTGGCTGTAATCAAAATCAGTCGTGAAATTTTATTTTGTTGAGATAGATGTTCTGTTCAGATATATATTATCTAAAGCTTTTATTGTTATCTAAATGAATTTTTTCTGAGGATTTTTTCCTCTTTTTTGCTCGAACCAACTTTAAACCAATTTAAGTATAAAAATACATCACTTGCTGTATTACTTGATTAAAATCTTCAACATGTACATATTGGAAAGAACATTTGTCTTGTTTCAAGCGCTCAAAAATAGGCGCCCATTTTCAAGACTTGCCAGACGAGACGCTTGAAACTTGTTGACTGTTATTTCTAATTCGTATATTTTTGTAGCGAATGAAGTTTTTAATCAAGTAGTACTATATTACCGCTTCAGTTTATTGGGATTATTTATTTCATCACTTTCTGTAGTCTTAGTGATTTGAATTGTTACATAATAAATTCCTCCTTTCTATTTGTAATCTATTAACCTTTTTTTTTGTGCCCCAAATGTAATAAAATTGCAGTTTCATTTGATTTCAAGGCTGATTGGTTCATGTTTTTCAAGCTCATCGGTAAAAAATTCATGTTTTGTAAATTACAAAACTTAAAAAGAAAACAAGCCACGCTTATATAAATTCCTTTAATTGAACATGACCTAACATTCCATTTCGTCAAATAACCCCACAAAAATTACGCTCAGCTCGGGCTTCTCTTTTGTCGTCATTTCGCAGAGGAGCAAGAGCATCACCATCCCATTCCCAATCTCGCCTTCAACGGAGAAAGAAAAGTGTGAGGAGATTCCTTTTTTACTATTGTGGAATAAATCAGTCTAGGCCGTAAAATTTGAACATTACTTCCCGCCGCTGACAGAATGGAGTGATTACTTCGACATGGGGAAGTACAAGATGCTTTTCTCACGCTGTTGGTCGTAAAAACGGCCGCCGTATGCTCGACCACCTGTTTTTAAGACTTGTCCCCCACCCTCTTCATAAGGTGACCGTTTGATGTTCCTACAGTGACAAGCAATGGCGACATAAATAGGTCCGAAGCGCTACTACGATACGTCCCATAAAATGTTTACGATTCATAAAAATGGTTGACCGACACCCGCTCGCCCGTTCCTAGGAAAGATTGTGTCCCTGCGTCCAACGATCCGCGATTTGATCTTGCTCTTCCTTTGACGGTTGAGAGATGCTTGTGATCTCCGTCTTTTCTTTTTGAGAAGTGGGATCTGATTTAGAGGTGTCAAAACGTCGTTGCGGTTGCCCACTTTATGTGACATTAACGGGGTTGAAGATTAAGAAACGACACTGTGTCATTCTCGTCGGATTGACGGCTTACTGTTAAGCAAAGGTAACTTAATTTAATTTTTATTGATTTTATTTTTAGAAATTATTGTTAGATTTTTTTTTGTAAATTATCTTAAAAAATTACAAAAGTTAATATGAAAAATATTTTTTATATTTCAAAAAATTTTGTAAATGCTATTTTTTTGTTTAAATAACTTATTTTTAGAGGACTGTTATGTCCTATATTTATTTATTTACTTTACTTCCTACATATTAGGAATTCTTGCATATCAGGAGAATGGCAGCTATTTCTTTAATAATTAACCCAATAAATTGTTTAATTTTATTTGTTGAAATAAATTGTACTAAATTTAAGAACTTTTAATTTTTAAAAATATAAATAGTTTAATTCAAAAAAATTTAATTTTTAAAATTGAATATTTAAAATTTTAAAATTATAATAGCTTTAGAAAAGTCTTAAGAATGCTTACTATGAGTAACAATTATTAAATGAATAATGAGTAAATGAAATTAAAATTATTTAGTTTCTTAAAAATAAGAAAAGTGCGTTCATGATATACCTCAAGGGTTAACATGCAGCAAGTAGAATCCTTTTTTTTTTGTTAATGAAATTAAAAACACTTTAACTGTAATGACTTACCAAATTTCTGATTTGCTTTGCATCAATTTTTTATAGAAGGAATTTTAATTAAGAAATTATAATTTTTTAAACGAATATTGCCTATATGTTTTTCGTCTTTATTCTCTTTAACAAATTACTTTCTTGTTGGTGAAACCTTACGTTTGTTATGTTTAAGAGGATAGTAGTTTATCAGTGAGATTAATGACACTATATTGTACTTGGTGAATATGTTAACATATTCACCAAGTCAATTATGTAAATATTCTTACCACAACAACCAAAGCATCTTCAATTTTCCAAATTACACGCAATACATCTTTAACGCACGCAACTCCTCATCCGAATTGCTTGTTCTTTCTCCATTCTCAAAGCAAATTAGTGACGTTTCCTGGCATTCATTTTGGAGACGAATGAAGTCAAGAACATAATAAAAGACGGCTCGAAAGAGGACATTCTGCATTCTCAACCGCAAATGAATGTTCGCACTTTTAAAAGTTATTTCGCTCGAGCAGTGGTGACAAAAATGACTCGCGTAATTCTTGCTCGAATAAACCTTTCCAAATATTTTAATGGCCGATGGGAAAGGCGGGGAAGGGTGTGGGGGGAAGTACGAGCCAATTTAGTTAGGAGTTTTCTGCTAAGAGGCATTCCAACTCGGGACGACGACGAAAGAGAAGACCCCCAAGAAAGAAAGAAGAAGGAAAAATCTTGGAGAGGTTCCCGTCCCGAAACAAATATGTCGTCCCTGAATCATTCTGGCAGGCGTCTCAACGCTTCGTCGAATTTGTAATGTTAGGTGAGAAATGGGCACCCGAAAAACTTTCCAGGCAGTCACATTGGGAAAGATTAGTAGCTCTGATGCCTCTTTCCACTTTGTAAGTTTCGTCGACAAGCCTCGACTTCACAAATCTGTCTTCTTTTTCTCGTGTTAATCCAAAGAATGGAATACATCAGTTAGCTTGACGAAAAAAAGATAGCAGGTGCCATATGTGATGGGAGATTTAGGTTGATGCCTGCTTAAAGTAAAGAATAATTATATATCAAATCCTGCTACACACCAGCTTAATCTATTGTATCTGTATTTTAATGCAATAAAAACCAGTGTCAATGTTATGCAAAAAATAAGACCTAAACTTTACAAAGATATAGAAATCGACGGAAAATCGCTTTTATAAATTGCATTGTCACGTTATAAACTTGACTGTATTTAATAAGATATTTTTTCTGTAATTTAGTATATTTAACCACATTATGGAATTCGGGCATTGGATGTTTTTAACCTAAGCTACTGAAATATTAATTGAATGCTTTTTAAATTATTTAATGACAGATGTCTTACCGCTTTGTTGAATTAGATCTAGGTAAGTAGTAGTTGACAAGTTTCCGACTTCTTGAAGACGAAAAATCTTATTTTGTTTTGGATTCAAATATTGAAATATAACGTTAGATCTTCCTTTGAATATATGTTTTGCTTTTCCTCATTGGGGCACTGTTGTTATGAAATATTTTGACTATCTGCTTATAAAATATTTTGACTATCTGCTTATAAAATATTTTGACTATCTGCTTGTAAAATATTTGAAATATCCACTTACAAAAGATTTTGACTATCTACTTATGAGAGAGACTTTCCACTTATAAAAGATTTTGACTATCTCCTTAAAAACTATTTTAACTGTCTACTTATAAATCTTTGATAAAAAAAGGGCAGAGAGAGAGAGTTGGATTTACAGACAACTGATATTTTAGAAAAATGGATTACAAGAGCAGAAATATCTTATTCATAATGCAGATTTGAACTTTTATCTTATTTAAAAACTGAATGCTTTCCCATTTAGTCAAGAATTCCGGAACAAATAGTGGCGGATATTTCGTTAAGAAGAAGTTTGTGAAGTGGGTATGTATTTGGACTGAACGTTCCAGTGTCGCCTGGCCCATCCCTT